GAAGAAGAACAAGATGGACAAGCACATCAGAACACCTGACTGGGAACACTTCCAGCCCATAGCCATAGCTCTGTCAAGCACTAGTTGGCAGAAAGAATTATCTAAACCACTTAGTTTACTTTCCTACCTCTCCATTCCCCCTCCCCTAAAAAGCACAAGGCTAAAAAAGATAAAAATTACTGAGCACCTACTATGTGTTAGATACCCAGGGTGTTTCTATGTGGTCAGAGAACTATCCTAGAGGCTGATCATAGAACCTAGTATCTAGTCTTCTAGACCCACCACAGAGAATGCAGGCTGGTGCTCAGATCTCCTCACTGAGGGCAAAAAATGCTGCAGAGAGCAAGCAAAGAGACTGTAACAGGAATAATTAAAGATCTAGTGACTGATATTGGAGTTTAGACTTCAAGCTGATTATCAGAAAAGCAAAGCAGCTGGCCACTATCTTCTTACCTCTACCTCAGGCTGAATGGGCTGATCCTGTCTCCATGAGCTCTCACCAATCCTCAGACTGTAGGCTCTCCTCAGCGTGGCTGGAGAATTAATGCCTCTTACTGAATCCTTGCTCCTATCTTTTATACCCCTCTAGTGCTGGAATTAAAGGTGTGGGCTCTAATTCTCTTTTAGACTGATTCAATCTTGTGTAGATCTGGGTGGCCTTAGACTAACAGAAATTCATCTATATCTTAATCCTGAGTCCTAGGACTAAAGATGCATACCACCACCACCTCTTAGCTTCTGGCTGCAGGGATTAAAGGTGTATATCTGGCTTCTATGGCTTATGGCTGACTTTGCTTTCTGAATTCTCAGGCAGGCTCAAATAAATCATAAATAATATATCACTATAAGAAACCTGACCCCAGTCAGATACAGCCTGGTCCCCACCTCTCAGCTCACTACATGGGACCCTCCATGTGGAATTCAAACTCCTTCCTTCATTCACCCACCAGATTTCCATATTTGTTTCAGATACTAGAAATACTTGCTGGGGTCTACCCTGCCCAAGACAGGAAAAATGCATAGTAAATTATAAGATCTAAATACCAGGGATCTATAGTGTCTTGAGGTCATGAACCACCTTCCCCACTCGGTCTCTGCTACTTTGATTCTTCTTCCTCTTAAAAGAGGCCGCCCTAGTCTTCTTTTTTGCAATTAAAACAAACATTTGTTTGTTTGTTTGTTTATGTCACTGTTCACAGTTTCACTGCTCACAAGTGGATGTCAGGCTGTCTGGCCTGGAGATAAGCCCCTCTACCTGCTGAAGCGTCTCCTTGGCTATCTTCTAAAATAGGCAGCTCTTGTTACTGTCAGTTTTTTCCTGTTTGTAAGATATACAAAGTAAAATCTTTGATGGGAACTCAAAGTAAAATCTTCAGAAAACTATTTAAAACCTTCAGCCTGCTGGGAAGCAGGGAGGCTGTGGAGAGGTTGAATGTGGGTCCTGTATGTGGCATGGAGGCACACCCAGGCCCTCAAGAAGCTGAGGGAAGAGGATGATGAGTTTAATGCTAACTTCATCTTAACATAGACCCTGTCTCAAAAATGAAAAACCAACCAAGGGAGCACAGTGAGCCCTGGAGCCAGGCAGACTTGGCCCTGAACCCAGCTCTACCTCACAATGGTCTCCGACAAGCTACCTGACCTAGATGTGCCTGCACTGTACTTAAGTGTAACCTCCTCTGGCCACTGGGAGGAGTTGGAGGTAATCTGCTAAAGGACTCAATTAGAGCCTCAAATGTTTGCCATCATCACATGGCATACAGATCAAGCACCCAAAAACACCTGACATGCCCCATCACAGTCCTCCCTGTCACGGGTAATGCACTTCAAAGGACATGGCCAAAGTGACACAGCCACTCCTAGGTACCCATGCACGTCTTTACAGGTGGCAGTATTTACTGGACAGCTAGCAAATTAGCCCTCTAATCCCTCTCAGTACCCACAGTCTTCTTCTACCTGGGGACAGGACACCTTCTCCCCACAGGGCACAGTAGTTAGTAGGGGTTAGTTTGCCTTGGACAGAGTCTTGGCTTCATCATTCTCTACAGGTGACCTGGCCTCTCCATCTTCTATAAAGTGGACAGAATAATCACAACTATTTCAAGGTTACTAGAAATACTGTCTGGCAAAGAGGAAACATTTTTTTTTTGTTTATTTGTTTTTAGACAAAGCCTCAATATGTAGCTTTGGTTGGCCTGGAACTTGCAATGTAGGACCAAGCTGCCCCCAAACTCAGAGATCTCCCTGCCTCTGCATGCTGGGATTAAAGGGGTATACCACCACAGCAGGGGAGAAAACAATTTTTATTTATTGGGGGGGAGGCAGGCAGTGTTTCCCTGTGTAACAGCCCTGGCTGTCCTGAAACTCCCTTTGTAGACCATGCTGGCCTTAAACTCACAGAGATCTGCCTGCATCTGCCTCCTGCATCTGCCTGCATCTGCCTGCATCTGCCTGCTGGGATTAAAGGCATGCCCCCAACACCACCCAGCCAACTGATTTTTTTTTTTTTAAGAGATGGTCTCCAAACTTCATATTCTTCATGCCTCGAATTAAACCTAACTCATATCCACAATGCTCCGTCTCCACCCCATTTTCCTTCCTGTATTCCAATGTAGTAGCATCACTGCCTGCCAAAACTAATAGAGGTCTCAGCCCCAGCGAGCTTGGTGGCACAATCTGTCAATCCCAGCAGGCTGATCTCTGAGGACTGGGAGGCAGAGGTATCAGCCTCCTCCACGTGTGTTTTTACCCTTTGCCCCCTCTGTGTGTACCCAGGACCTCAAGCAGAGCTGGGCTACACCTCCTGCCTCCATCCAGTCTTCCTCACTGTTCAGATACCTCCCTCTCTTGCCTTTCCATTCCAGTTCATCCTATCTGAACCCAGCTCTACCTCACAATGGTCTCCGACAAGTTTGTGTTTTCAAACACAAACAACTCTGCCTAAAACTCTCTTCCTGCCCACCCTGCCTTAATGCAGACTCTTCACTTGTTTTTTGATTGTTTGCTTGTTTTGTTTTTCGAGACAGGTTTCTCTGTATTGCTTTGGAGCCTGTCCTGGATCTCGCTCTGTAGACCAGGCTGGCTTCAAATTCACAGAGATAGGCCTGACTCTGCCTCCCGAGTGCTGGGATTAAAGGGGTGCACCACCAACGCCCAGCGCAGACTCTTCTCTTACAAAGACATCTCTGGCCTCCTTGCAACCTCCGCCCTTGCCCTCTTAAACCTACAGTACTTTATGTCAGACTTACTGCTAGGGACACCAATCTGATCATCATTTTCCACTTTTGGTCTAGTCCCTATCTTCTCCATCGGCTAGTTCCACCCTTCCTTCTGGGGCCAACTAAGCCACCTCCATTCCAGATTTTCTTCTAGCCCCTTACTCATTACCTGTAGCAATCTCCCCATCCCCGGTAAACTAAGAACAAGTGACTGATCACACCTCTTCCCCTATGGCCTCAGCCCTGGCAGTGTAACAATCCTGAGGTTCTGTGTAAGCATGCAATTTGGCAGATATACTAAAAAATGCTCATTGGATTTAAAGTAACATACCACCTTTCTCGGTAGCCCCGCCCAGCTTCCAAATACAGAATTTCGGAGAGGGTGTAAAGGAACTATGTACAGAGGAAAGCAGAAGGCCCTACCCAGGAACGTTTTCCAGATTGCATGAAAGATAGGGATGTCTCAGAGGCAGCCAGATCCCTTTTAAGGCAAGTTTCTCTTCTGACCTCTAACTCCAGTGCCCCTTCACCCAAGCTGAGCCTAAGGTTACAGCAACCCATTTCTCTGCCCTTCCTGGAGACCTGCTCTGTCCTTTCCCAGGTGTCCCAAGTGCTCAACTTCTCCTCCTAGAGGAGAGCTTTGGGCATGCACACATAGTCCACAAATATGCCTCTTCCAAAAGCTTCATAAGCTTTGTACTGAACCCACAAGTAAAACCTTTTCAGCCTCAAACGGATCCTCGGCCCACCCAAAGCTCCACAAGCCCGACACTAATCTAGCCGGAGCCATACCGCTCCCCAAACTGCAAAGCACTAGGTCACCTACCCTCCCTCTATCACTGCAGCCCTGTCAGTCTGGAAAAAACAAACAAACAAAACATAAGCAGAACATTGACTTCGGCGCTAGTTAAGCGGAGGCAGGAGGATTGCCTGGAATTGAGGCCAGGTAAGCCTGGTCTAGAGACCTTGTCTTGAAAAGAATAAAACAACAGAACACAGGCTTGCTCCTAGACTTGGCAATTTCAACCTGATCTTCACGCTGACATACAGCGGTACCAGGCCTACCAAGTCTTCACATGGTCTGGGGCTTTGCCTGCTGTGTTCCTGGCACAGCCATAAAGGCCGTGAATTGAGCAGAGTTCACCAACATGCAAACTTGCAGCCACACCCTCCCAAGTGCCATCTTTTTCCTCCCTGATCCCATTGCTGTGGTTTTAGTATGGCAGGCCAGACTTTTACCCCCCACCTCTGCCACACCAGGCCACTCAGGCAGTCCGACACTAGCTAAGATAAAAACCCACTGTAAACAGAGGCTTATCTAATGCAGAAGTATTTGCATTTTGGGTTAAAGCAACCTGGAACAGCGTGTATCTCCCACTAGACTCACTCACAGAAGGGTCAGGAGTCAACGTCCGGGGCTCGAATGTGTATCCGCTTACAACCTTAAGACGCGTGGGAGTAAGTGGCAGTAACTGATTCCCAATATTCTCTGAGTACGATCTTTTGGATAAAGCGACTCTTTAGTAAGACACGTCTTAAGCTCCAGAAAGTGAAATCCAGAGTCCGCTAACGTCGCGGGAATTCTGCAATCCACTTTGGTCTGAACTACAGTCGGAACTGGGCCTTGTTCCAGGGGTACCAATATCAAGACTTAGATCTAAAACACGACTCCAACTTCTGAAGGCCGAAGTTCCTACCCTACTCCCCGCAAGGGTGGTTGGGGGTCCGGTGTTGAGTTGCAAAGTAGGCGAGTGAGGGACCCCGGGGAAGGGGGGCGCTCACCTCTCGGGCGGAGCGCAGCTGCTGGCGCAGCGCGTCCTTGCAGCCGTACGGGCCGCCCGCGCCGGTGCCGCGGGGCTGGAAATGCGCCTCGACGCGCGTGGCACCGCGGTAAGCGCCCCGGTAGAAGGCGGGCCAGCCGAGCTCCAAGGCCGGCGGCTCCAGATCCGACTGCTCGGGAAAGTAGGTGCCCGAAGAGCAGTCGTGAGAGGAGCCAAACGAGTCCTCGGCCACGGCCGCGCCGTCCTCGACCGGCCGCTCAGCGGCGCCCAGAACCGCGCGCACCTCATCGGCGTTGAGGAAGCGGCCCAGCCGCTCCCGCCGTAGGAAGGAGGCCCAGGCGTCGGGACCACCGGCCAGCAGCTGCTCGAGGGCCAGGCGCCGCGCCTCGCTGAACAGCTCGGTGGGGTTGGGCGGCCCGCACGGCGACAGGCAGGCCGCGGGAAGCTCGTCCAACAGTTCACAATGAGCAGCCATGGCGGCGCTCAGCCAGGGTCCACTGAAGTGAGACGGTCGCCTGAGATTTTTATAGGCACCTTTGAATCAAACCAGCCCGCGCTATTGGCTCCCCCCCCCCCCCCCGCTCTCCCACTCGC